AGGAGTTGGAGGTTGCTGTGAGCTGTGATGCCATAGCACTCTACCCAGGGGGATAGCTTGAGGCTCGGTCTCAAAAAAAAAAAAAAAGAAAGAAACTGTATCAGTCTTGACTTCAGAATCTATACTTTTTATATTATGTCCCAGTCATAAAAAATATGATGTCAAATATCTCAATAGAAATCATCTTAGGGAAGTTCTCAATTACTACATTATATTTTTGCTAGCGAATATAATAAAAATGCAATTAGGTTAATTATTCATAGTAAAATAGAGAAGCATACTTTGTGGCTTTCTCAAAAATAGATATGCACACAATTCTAATGTAAAATTCAAAAGCGAACTAGATTATTCCAATCACAGCTCTAACCTGATTTTAGACAGTAGCTCTCCTCTATCTGCACAGTCCACACTGACTTGTCTAATAAGTTCATGAAATATTGTATTGTAAATGGTCTGTTCCTTCTTCAACATGTGTAGTAGTTTGTGCATCTGGCAGAAGATAAGTAACATAGTCAGTACTTACTACAGTCTTATCAGTAAAAGCCATTTTAGGAGGTAAGCACCCTAAATGTGAGTACATTTCAGAAACACCTTATTTATTTCATATACATTCTTATGTAAATATATATACATACATAGACAAACACACACACACACAAAGCCGACATGCGATTTGCCTAATCGTGTGCTTCTTTATATGTTGCACTGAGAAGGTCACAATATCACTTCTATGTTATACCTCCAAAAACACAAAACTTGTTCTAATAAGGAGTTATACATCAGACAAACCAAAACTGAGGAACTTTCTACAGAATAACTGGTCTGAGCTCTTCAAAATGTCAAGGTAAAAAAATACACACACACAAACAAAGGCTGAAGAACTGTTTCAGATTAAATTTGTTTAAAGGAACAGGACAACTAAAAGCATTACGTGGGGCCAGGCATAATGGCTCATGCCTATAATCCTAACACTCTTGGGAGGCCAAAGTGGGAGGATGGCTTGAGGTCAGGAGTTCTAGACCAGCCTGAGCAAGAGCAAGACCCCATCTCTACAAAAAAATAGTGAAACTTAGGCAGGCATGGCAGTGGGAGCCTGTAGGTCCAGCTACTTAGGAGGCTGAGGCAGGAGGATTGCTTGAAGCCAGGAAGCTTGAGGTTGCTGTGAGCTATGATGCCAAAGCACTCTAGCCTGGGCAACAGAGTGAGACTTTGTCTCCAAATAAATAAATAAAAGCATTATGTGATCCTGGGATTCTGGACTTGGATCCAGCTAAAAAAGCCATTATAGCCATTATAGAGACAATCAATGAAATATGAAATTTGAATGTGGACTATGTTAGATAATACTATCAAATCAACATTAAATTTCTTTTTTTTTTTTGAGACAGAGTCTCACTTTCTCACCCTTGGTAGACTGCAGTGGCATCACAGCTCACAGCAACCTCGAGCTCTTGGGCTTAGGCGATTCTCTTGCCTCAGCCTCCCAAGTAGCTGGGACTACAGGTCCCAGCCACAATGCCCAACTATTTTTTTGTTGCAGTTTGTCCGGGCCAGGCTCAAACCTGCCACATCGATATAGGGGGCTGGCACCCTACCCACTGAGCCACACGCGCCACCCAACATTAAATTTCTTGACTTTAATAACTATGCTATAGATATATAAGAGAATGCCCTTGTTTGTCAAAAATACACCCTGAAATATCTGGTGTTAAAGAAGCATGATATCTTTGGGTGGTGCCCGTGGCTCAGTGAGTAGGGGACTGGCCCCATATACTAAGGGGGATAGGTTCCAACCCAGCCCTGGCCGAACTGCAAAGCCGGGCATTGTGGGGGGCGCCTGTAGTCCCAGGTACTCAGAAGGCTGACGCAAGAGAATTGCTTAAACCCAGGAGTTGGAGGTTGCTGTGAGCTGTGTGATGCCACGGCACTCTACCAAGGGTGAAACTACCTACTCTACCAATAAAGTGAGACTGTCTCTACAAAAAAAAAAAGAAGCACGATGTCTTCAACTTACTTTAAAATGGTTCAAGAAAAACTCCATAGATACAGATGGGGGTCAAAGCAAACAGGACACAGTGTAAACAACTGGATGGAGAATCTGGGTAAAGCTCACTTAGGAGTACCTTACTTTGAACTTTTTCTGCAAGTTTCAGATTCTATACAAATAAAAGTTTACAAAACAAGAAAGAAAGAGCCTTCATAAAGAAAAAAAACCTATATATAAGACTGAAAGACTTCTTTTATTAAGTACAAAATACAAATTACAGGTGGTAAGAAAAGATGGCTTAATTGACAGGTTTTTTAGTGGTACATAAAATAATAAGGATCTTACAATCAATAGTGCCTTATGTTCGATGAAATAATAAATACTAAAAATTAATTATACAGTGTCTACCACATGTCAGGCCTTTAATCTCCACAAAAACCCTGTGAGGTAGATACTATTATCTCTAATTTATAGATGAAGAAATTGAGACACAAATGCATTAAATGACTTGCCTAAAGTCACCAACTAATAAACGGCAGTGTCAGGATTCTAGCCCAGGCGTTATTCTGCCTCTAGAGTGCATGCTTTCAACCACCAGGTTACTCTGATCTTAGCAATTACCTTGGTTGGTCCTGTATACTCCTGATTTTCCACACCAGCCTTCTCTAGCATAGCATCCATCACGTCATTCAGCTTGATCACTTCTACTCTTTTATTAGGTTTCCTAAAAGATTAAGGCAGAAGACTTACTAATCAGTGTTTTAACAGGTCATCCTTCAGTGGCAAAAGGAATATAGTGTGCGTGAAAAGAGTATGTGTACCATAGAATATTAAAGGTATTTTACGGCATTAGATGTGTATCAATTTATTGGGAGATCAGTAATATAGTGAAATGGGGCAAGAAAAATTTAAATAGTATGATCATGTTTGTCATAAAAGAAAAATGTGCTCCTCCCTAAAATTCTACATACCTATTATAGAGGATTATGAGAACATAGAAAAAAATGTACAGAGATAAACACCAAACTGTTAACATTGGTTACCTCACAATGTGAAAGAAGAGACAAAGAAAATATATTAAAAAAAAAAAAAGACTGAGGTGAAATGGAGAAATACTAACGGTTAAATGTAGAATATAAAAGTATTTTATAGTACTTAAATCTTGTACTATATACATGTAAATGCGTAAATCTGTAAAACTGAATATGCAATTAGACAAAGGAAAACACTGATTAGATGTGGGCCAGTGGGTTGCAACCCCTTTTTAACAATGAAAATATAGGGTGGTGCCTGTGGCTCAGTGAGTAGGGCACTGGCCCCCTATACTGAGGATGGCAGGTTCAAACCTGGCCTGGCCAAACTGCAACAATAAGAACAACAACAACAAAAAAATAGGTGTTGTGGCAGGCACCTATAGTCCCAGCTATAGGGGAGGCTGTGGCAAGAGAATTGCCTAAGCCCAAAGCTGGAGGTTGCTGTGAGCTGTGATGTCATAGCACTTAAAAAGAAAAAAAAAAACACAATGAAAATACATTGTGGCATTAGGAAGGTTGAGAACCACTGATGTAGGCAATTATCATCTTGGGTTTCTGCCATAATTTTAATATTTTTGTTTAATAAAGTACCGAGAAAAAGGAATATACATGTATACAGTTAGTTATTCTTTCTGATATACACTTTAGAAAATAATCTATACTTACATGGATGGGAAGAGCAGTAGCCTGTTTTCACTATCTGTGAGGAGAGTAGTATATTTGCTACAATAAATAAGACAGGTAAATGTTATTTTTAAAAATATGTTCTGACATCAGGCGTGGTGGCTTAGCCTATAGTCCTAGCACTCTGGGAGGTCAAGGTAGGAGGAGTGCTTGAGCTCAGGAGTTTGAGACTAGCCTGAGCAAGAGTGAGACCCCATATATACTAAAAATAGAAAAATTAGCTGAGCACAGTAGCTCATGCCTATAATCCCAACTACTTGGAAGGCTGAGGCAAGAGGATCACTTGAGCCCAGGAGTTTGACATTGCTATGAACTATGACACCACAGCACTCTAGCCTGGGGCAATAGAGTGAGACTCTGTCTAAAAATACACACACACACACACATATATTTTTTCTTATCCTGGCCAATTTATCAATTTGCATACCTAGTACTGAGAATCTTGGTTTCTAAGTACTATCCTCTCCTCCACCCCCCAAAATTAGTACTCCTTAGAAAAGTGACTCAAGGTTTATTCCAGGGCTGGAGTTGGGAAATACAAACTGAACCTAGAAATTTTATTGAGCCAAAAAATAAGGAAGTATTCAAATAATGATGGGAACATGTCAAAAGAACATAAAAGCCAGCTCAAAGGAACTGCCCTTGGCCAAATCTAGAATAACTTGAGCATCAAAATAAATAATAATAAAGAATTAGAGTACATCAAATAAAATAGAAATCCATGAATCCACAGAGTAAAATGGCAACTAATGAATATAAAACAAATAATGAAGCCAAAAAAAAAAAAAAGACATCTAACAAGAAGGTTGTTAGAAAATACACACTAAATAAAGCATTTGGTAATAAAAAGCCACAATAAATAGCTTTAAAATATATACATGTGAGTGTATAAAAACAAATGAGACAAAAATGAAACACCCAATCATGATAGAGCGTATATGGACATTCCTTTTCCTAAGTTTCGTAACTTATTTCTAAGTTTGAAATTATATAAAACAATACCAAAAAATGAGTTCCATCTGGCAGAATATTGTTCTGAAACCTACCATCATGAGGAAATGACATATAGCATACATAACAGATTAGATAAAAACAGTGACAGTTTCGAGATATTTTATTGCATAGCTTTTGTCTAAAGTTCTAGTTTTTTCGGCTGGGCACAGTGGCTCATGCCTGTAACCTTAGCACTCAGGGAAAGTGAGGCGGGTGGATTGCCTAAGCTCAGGAGTTCAAGACCAATCTGAGCTAGAGTAAGACCCCCATCTCTAAAAATAGCTGGGCTTGGCAGTGCCCATAGCTCAATTGGCAGGGCACCAGCCACATACACCAAGGGTGGTGGGTTCAAACTTGGCCCAGGCCTGCTAAACAACAATGACAACTGATGACAGCTGCAACAAAAACACAGCCGGGCGTTGTGGTGGGCGCCTGTAGTCCCAGCTACTGGGAAGCTGAGGCAAGAGAAACGCTAAATCCCAAGAGTTTGAGGTTGCTATGAGCTGTGATGCCACAGCACTCTACCCAGGGCGACAGCTTGAGACTCTGTCTCAAAAATGTAAAAATAAAATAAAATAAAATAAAGTTTTAGTTATTTAAAGCATGGAACATTCAAGTGTTATTCAGAAAATATAAGTAAGATCCTACTTTCAATCTCATAAAGATAAATCAAAGAAAAAGATGATCAGGCTTGGC